GGAGGTTTCCAAAACCTGCAACAAATAAAACGGCACGATGGCCAACAACCACATACACATCTTATACCTTGCAAAATGACGGCAAGTTGTGGGGCGGCGGGAGGGCAAGGCAGAACCAGGAGGCAGGGCAGGGCAAGGAGCGGCGGCAAAAACCTGCAAGTTGAAGATAATAGAGAGCCAAATGCATCGGGTCAGTAAGTGTATAGAGAGATCATTAAAAGAATGGCAATCATTGGCATGGAAATATGCTCAAGTTAATAGTACAACATCACTGTTTGTTGAAGTGATGTTTTGCTTGTATGTGTGTGTCTAGTTTTAACAATTTTGGCATATGGAGATTGCAAGAGCTAGTTAGCATGGTTCTTGTGCCTTATCTCCTAGGTAGCTTGATAGCTAATGGTTACTGGTGGCAGTATGTCAACCCTTCTCCTCAAGATTATTACCGTTGGGTAACCACATAGGTTTTGGGATAACTACTACGACTCTCTAGCAATCAATCATATGCCAACAAATTATAAAATAATTACGCTTGCTAAGTCTCAGTTTCATCACGTCTCAACATCAAATATCTCATAATTATTGCCTAGTTACAATGGTGTATTTGGAGTGTATTTGCTGAGTCGCTAAAATAGTACCATCATGAAAGAAGAATCAACTTGCCGTACACAGCAACCAACGTTTTATCATGCCAATTAGAGTCGCCCCTATGATTGGGAGAACAGTAGTACCTCTGCCTATGCTTTATCAGTGTTTAACATGAGTCGATAATGGTTACACTACAAACTTGTAATACACCTTAAGTAATGAACTAAAATCAACCAATAGCACGGCATCATGGCAATTCATTCACTAGTGCTATTTACTGATCCTGAAATCCTACCCTCAAGGCAGCATTTGCTGAAACCAATTTTGGTACACCAGAAATAACAAATAAGCACAAAAGAAAGCATGCACGGCGCTGGGCTGCTTCTCTGTTCCTTGGTCGCCAGAGCAGAGGTGCACGGCAGCACCATGGCAATCTACGGTGCTGCTTGGGATCGAGCTACGGACTACGAGAGACGGAGATAGGAGGCGCAAAAGAGAGCGAAGCTCACCGAACTCAGGCAGGCTCTCCTCGGTGCTTGGTTCAGAGTGGAGGGGGAGGCAGCCGAGATGAGGCGGACGATGACGATGAAGTGTTCCGGCGGGCTCGTGATTTCTCGTAACACGCCATGATCTTTTGGAAATAAAGGCAGGGTGTGAATCTCTGGGACGAGGAGAATCCAGTAGAGGTGAATATTGAGCAAGAGATGGACAAACCACGGAGAACGATAACGGCGAACGGAGCTCGGCAATGGTGTCGCGGAGCTCTGTAGGGAGAAAAGAGGGACGTGCAGCGAGCAGAGAGGAGCGGCGGCGGGCTGGGCGGCGGTGGGGTCCCGGGGAGATCAAGGGGTCCGGGCCGACGAGGGTTCAGGGCGGCGGCTGGGGCACAGGGCGACGGCGGCGGTGTGTGTGAGTGCATGAGTGTGGGCGGGCGTGTGTGTGCGTGAGTGTCGTGTGCGTCAGGGAGGTGGGTCATATGAAAGGTATGCCGAGTGCCCCCGATCTGGGCACTCGGCAAACTAACGATATGCCGAGTGTCCGGATCGGGGCACTCAAAGATTATGTTTTTTATTTTCGAACCGCTTCGCATCGCACAATGGGGCGGATCAACAAAGTTGCTGAGTGTCCCCCGTACGACACTTGGCAACTATTCTTTTTGTCGAGTGTCGTAGAGAACACTCGACAAATTTTTTTATTTCATGCTACACTTCTTCATAGCGCGTTCTACTAAATTTGTTATGATGGACTTCGAAAGTACCTTGTCAAATTTACTTAACAATGCATATTTGATTTTTCTATGAATATTATTCCATTATTTCATGCAGTTATAGCTCAAATTCAATTTATATCAATTAAAATTCTATAATTGTAGTTAATAAATTAAAATTATCAAATGGACCCCAACAATTCCCAAAATTTGACATGGATCAATCTATGTTGTCTATTGCCTATACAAAAAGTTTTGAAGTCAAACCCTAATTCGATCGTGACTTTGACTCCAATCTTACCAGATCCTTCTCAACTCCTTGATTCTTCTTTGGAGATACTTGGTTTTATAAGCGTCATTACATGATAAATTTTGCAAAACCTTCTCAATTTTTTCCAGTCTCCACGTATGATATCAGGAGATCTTGACAAATCTCGCTTTTTTACGACTTCGTTTGCTTTTTTTAGAATTAAAAGCCATTCGCCACACGTTAAGTGGTCGTGTTTCCTGAACAAAATGTTCAAATTTCTTTTCATTTCTGGTATGGCCCCAAAATGGACTCAATAACATGAATATGATTTCTCCACTCAATTTATTCTATTATTTGAATCACTCAATTTATTCCAAAGGAAGGGGACAGGGTGGCAGGGTGGGCTCCACATGCCGGTGATGGAGAGAGGGAGAGGCGGGGGGCCCTTTGGCGGTGGGAGAACAGAGGGAGCCGGCGGGGGTGCGGCCCGGTGGGCCGGCTGGTGCAAAGCTGGGCTTTGGCCCAGGGAGTGAAGGGAAGGGCGTGGGGGTGAGGAGCAGGCCGAGCAGGAGCTGGACTAGAGCAGGCTCAAAGGCCGAAGGAGGTGAGGGAAGAGAGAATCCTTTTTCTATTCAGATTTTTCAAAGCCATTTTCAAATTGATTTTGAATCCATTTGAATTTGTTTCAAAAACCAGACAATACAGAAAAAACAATTGCAGCAGCATGTATGCATAAAACATGTATCTAGCCTTATAGTTGATTTTAATTTAATAAAATATTATCTTCCCTATGTTTAAATGTGTACACAAAATGCATAATTAAGTCAATTTAATTCTATTTGAAGGGAAGCAAAATTTTAGGTGTTACAATACCCATAAATCTGTCATATTGGGGGAGATGGGCTTTTTTTCATACTCCAGCAGTTCTCCAATAGCTCTTCCTTTTATTGGTGACCAACAAAAAATCTCTATCTCCCCTCAGATAAAGGGGAGTTCCATCTCCTCCGATAGCATGGGTCCCGTAATAACTATCACTTGTCCATCCTTTCTGCTCACTACCCACACCGGAGCTCGCCAGGCGCCATGGCTGCAACTTGGCATGCATCCTCGCTGATGTCCCTGCTCAACAAGGACCCGAAGCGTAGGCAAGGGCCGCCTGCCGGCTCAGCAACGAGGCACGAGGGCCATTCCACACGGGTGCTAGCGGGCGGCTTTCCTGTTCGAGGACGAGGCACAATCCGCACGGGCAGTTAGCGCTCCGACTCAACGACGAGGCACGAGGGCCGACGTTGGTGGCTTGGGGCGTCGGGGTCAGGGCCGTCGTGGAGGTGTCTTGCGTGGTAGGCGGAGGACGGGGTTGGGACTGGCGCGCAGCGGAGGTCGAGGTCGAGACTGGTGTCTTGGCGGCGGTCGAGTGCTATCTGATGTTGCGATGGAGAGAAAAAGGAAAGGAAAAAAAGAAAATAAATAAACTGTGATCAGGTCCTATGTTTTGGGGTTGGGGGGGGGGGGAGGGGGAGATTATTGATGTTGGGCTATCTTCCGTTATCAATTTATTAGAGGAGTTGGATTGGGGAGCAGTGGGAGATGCTATGACTAAATTAGATTTTTTTTTTGTTTAGGTCTTCGCAATATAAGATAATTAAGCTATGAACTTGGATGAATTTAACTGCTGGCCAGCATCATGGGTTTTACCTTTTGGGCTTGTAAATAAAAATCCAATCCGGATCCAAACGGCCCCTAAGGCGATTGAATGGTAGGATCATGGGAGCATCTGGCGGAGATTTTTGTCGTGCAAAACCCAATTCCGTGGCATGTGGCGGAGACTCGCCAGCACTGTTGCGATAAGCGTACATCTGGGGGCAATCTATGGCCCTGTTTGGTTACCCCTCCTAAAAGCTTTAGGAGCTAAAATCCAGATAGAATCCGTCTAAAGAACCAAACACCTCTCCTAAAACCTCCTAAAAGTTTTAGAAGGCTGATTTTTCTTTAGGAGCTCCACCCCCTCCTAAAACCTCCTAAAGTCCTTCCTGGACCTCCACTACCCCTCATTTATTGCCTTCTCCCTCTCTCTCTCTCCCCTAAAGAAGGGTAAAAGTGTCTTTGTTCAACAACATTTATTGCCTTTAGTCAGTTTTAGGAGGTGCAACCAAACACTCTTTTAGGAGGTTTTAGAAGACTGCCTAAAACTTTTAGGAACTAAAGTTTTAGAAGCTCGGAACCAAACAGGGCCTATCATACGGAGTAAGGCCCCGTTTAGTTCTCACCAAAAACTAAAAATTTTTGCGCAGTAAGTATCACATCGAATCTTGCGGCACATGCATGGAATACTAAATGTAGACGAAAAAAAAACTAATTGCACAGTTGAGTGAGAAATCGCGAGATAAAACTTTTGAACCTACTTAATTCATAATTAGATACTAATTATCAAATACAAACGAAAGTGCTACACTACCCAAAACCAAAAAAATTTCGGATCTAAATGCGCCCTAACTCCTACCGCTTGTAGTCTCCAGCTCCAGCTAGCCCCCGTTGCTCCACGATCCATCATTGCACTTGCCTCTCACACGACACGATCTCCAGTACTAGCAGCTCCTGCAAACCACCTCGTTGGCCGTGCGCCGCGCATGCAGCCTCCCTAGGCGTGCATGCTTGTACACGTCGACGACGCATAGGTCGGCGCCATGTCATGTCATGTCATGGCCGCCGCCCCGTGCGCCCACCCCATCCACCCCGATCGGCGACCGAGCCGCCCCTCCGTCTTCCCAATGCAGGATACTAGGAGATAGGAGTAGCGCCCCCCTCGGCGCCCAACTAGTACTAGTACTAGTACCAGGGGCAGTTGTACTACCACTAGTGGGAACACAAGAACGAGTGAGCGATCAGATCGGTGACCGCTGACCAGAGCTCGCGCTGCAGGCTGCAGCTGACGGCTGTTTTGCCTATCCGCCGCATGCCATGGGGGTGCCTTCCTTCTACAAGTGGCTCGTGGGCAAGTACCCCAACATCGTCGTCCCCGCCAAGGAAGAAGACGAAGCTGGCGCCGGCACGTCGTCGCCGTCGTCGCGGGGGGACGAACAAGCCGCCGGACCCAATGGCGTCTACCACAACCTGTACCTGGACATGAACGGCATCATCCACCCCTGCTTCCACCCGGAGGACCAGGTATGTCGTCTCTAACACATGCATGCATGTTACACAAACATCACATCATCCTGATGGATTTGATCGAGTTCCTCAACTGAATCTCTTGACGCTCGAGCTGGTAAACGTGATGGATGGAATGCAATGCAGGTGTACCCGCCGAAGACGTTCGACGAGGTGTTCGCGGCCATGTTCGAGTACATCGACCGCCTCTTCCACGTCGTCAGGCCTACCAAGCTGCTCTACTTGGCAGTAGGTACGTGTACTCCTGTATACTAGTACATGTTTCATCTGTTTTTTTTTTTTTTCCATCGTCTTTGTTGGCGTTTCATCGATACAATACAATGCATATGCGTGTCTTGTTTCAACTGCAGATGGTGTTGCTCCCCGCGCCAAAATGAACCAGCAGAGGTCCAGGCGCTTCAAGGCTGCCAAGGATGCTAAAGATGCGGTAAATAAACCCCTCGGCCCTCACCTCTCCGCCCTCTGGATTTGTTTGCTGCTATGATTTATATGCAGGAACCGTATATATATGTATGAGTGACTATGCTTTGATGATTTACAGGAACTGGAGGAGAAGATTCTGAGAGAGAAGTTCAGAGCTGAAGGGAGGGAGGTGCAACCGCGGGAGACGCATGAGGTTTCGGATCCCAACGTCATCACGCCGGGGACGGAGTTCATGGAGAAGCTTTCCAAAGCCCTCGAGTACTACATCCGGTCCCGGTTGAATAGTGACCCCGGGTGGAAAGGCATCAAGGTTTAGTAGACACTGAGGTCCTTGCCTCACTTTCCCATTTTTGCATTGCTGCAGTAAATATCTAGATATTAATATTGACAACTTTTATTTAATATTAATATTGACAGTTTAAAGATATTAGTTTCAGTGTGTAAAATGCGCCCGCTGTTTTGAAATAATGGTTACCGTTTGATTTTACTATTTGAAACTTGTCAACTAATAGTCAAATGAAAGTGATATTTTTAGCATTGTCATAAAAGTATTTAATTTCAATTTCAACTTGTGTATTTACAGTTACAGGTGAAATATCAAAGTGAAGAGTGATAATTTTCTTTTAATCTGAGGCATTGTGAATTTTTTTTTGAGTGGCTAGTTGATCATACATTTTGATCAAGATCCTGGTTTTCGTCAACATGATCATTGCTTAATAACCTTCATGATACTTGCGTTTTGAAGGTAATACTCTCTGATTCAAATGTACCTGGAGAAGGTGAACACAAGATCATGTCTTTCATCCGGGGACAACGGAGCCTGGAGAACTATGACCCAAACACAAGGCACTGCTTGTATGGACTGGTACGACGATGGAATAACTGAATATTTGAATATTCCCTTTCTACATCGCTGATCTTCTAATTGTTCCCTTTATTGTGTCTCTTTTACACACTGGATATCATTACAGGATGCGGACCTAGTAATGCTAGCTTTGGCATCTCACGAACTTCACTTTTCAATTTTGCGTGAGGTCTGTTAATCCATCGTTGGTGTCAACTCCTGTCTTCATCCATACTATGATAGCTCTTGCCAAACCACATTTAGTTAATTGGATTTAGCAAGCAATGGTGTATTGAAGTTAAATGTAATTGCAGAATTTTGTAAATATTTAGTTGAGAATACTCCTTTTGTTAACTTGGACAGGATGCATTACGTCCAACTCAGCCAGAAAATTCCATCCCTCTATCTAAAGAACTGTTTAAAACTGAAGATTCCTCAAGAAAATGTAGAGGATGGTTCCCCCATGACAGACAGAAACAACTCCTAGTAGGGACATGTCTCCCAAGAAACCTTATCAGGTTTGTTCCTCAGAGATGATAGCAGGGTCTTTCCATTTTAATTTTTTATAACACCGGCGCCTTGCAGTTTTTTGAACATATGGGTTCTAAGGGAGTACCTGGAGCTTGATTTGAAGATACCAAACCCGGTTGTCAAAACAGATATCGAGAGGCTAATAGATGATTTCATATTTATCTGTTTCCTGGCAGGAAATGACTTCATTCCACATATTCCTTCAGTTGAGATACATGAGGTGCACATATGCCGTCTGGTTCTGACAGCTTAACAGCAAACAATATTGTTGTTGTCACATCCTTTCACATGTTTCCCACCGCAAAAAGTGATTTTCCCCTTATCTTCGATGTGGCAGGGTGCAATTGATCTGCTATTGGAAGTCTACAAACAAGCATTTAACAAAATGGGAGGCTATATTGTGAGCACAGAGAAGGTACATGCAGAATCGAACTGTTAATTTCATTAATAATTAGTTGTTGAGTTATGTTTGATGTACTTCTGCTGCTACCAAAAACAGTTAAAAGACAAACATGCTGCATATCTTAAAGTTTCGAGGTTGGAAAAGTTTTTCATGAACTGTCCTTGTGTGAAGAGAAAATTTTTCTTAAAAGATATGAACTGCAAGAGAGGTATGTTATGAAACTTATAGTCCTTGGGTCAAAGTATACACTATTGCCAATTGGAACTTGTTGATTACATGCAGAGGTTACAGCGCAATTTAGTGCGCCGAGCTGCAGAAGAATGGAAAGAAAGAAACTATGGCAATATGGTGAGGGCTACATACAGCTAAAAATTTTGTTCTGATTACTGTCATATTCATTTTTAATCTCAAGCTTTCTTTTACTCAGGAAGAAAATCCTGATGGTCCAGACTTGACAGTAAAGTCTTTTTCAACAAACTACAGTATTTCCACCTACAGCCAAGATGAGTCAGATGTAGGGAAGAGCTACCTATTTTTTTCTACTTTTGTTTGGACCTTATCACTTCTCCTGAACTTGTTTTGCAAAATCCATCCATACTATTCCTTGTCTTGAGTTTGACTCACTTGTTGCTTAGGTAACTGCAAATACCTTAGAGCTGAGGCGAAACTTAAAGGATACTCTTCGTAACAAGCAAGACCTTATAAAAAGTGGAGCCTGTAAACATGACGCGGTTAGTAGAGCCTATTTGAGTAAATATTTCGCATATGTGCAAATTTTGACATGCCATTGCAGATAAGACTGGGATTTGCGGGGTGGAAATCTCGATTCTACAGGGAAAAATTTGGTGTGGAAAAATGTAATGAAGTTGGGAAGCTGAAGAATGACATAGTTATGATTTTTCCTGTTTCTCTGTGCAAATAAATTTTTAGTACCAGTGGGCGTTCTGAGGAGACAACATCAGATTGTGTTAACTTTCTTTATCACTGGCTTAATTTAGGTACAAAAGTATCTGGAAGGACTTTGTTGGGTGCTGCGGTACTATTTTGCAGATGTGCCATCATGGAGCTGGTAGGATGTACATATTTATGATCTGAGCTTTCATTTGTCCTTGTATATCCATATATTCAATGTACTAGTATGCTTTCATCGTTCTGAAATTTGAATGATGATTTTTTAAAATAATTGATAATCTTGATAAATAGTTCCACATAAGTGATATATGACTGCTAATTCTTATGGATATATATATGTACTACCAGATGTTTCCATTCTACAATGTCTATTTTCCTCTTAATGAAAAACATGTCAAGGCACGGTCGCGAAAAAAATTCTATAATGTCTATTTTGTTGTCTGCAGGTACTACCCCTTCTATTATGCTCCTTTCGCATCTGATTTTAAAGGACTATCTCAGTTCAAGATATCTTTCACTGCTGATAAGCCACTAAGACCATTCGATCAGCTCATGGCAGTTCTTCCAAAAGAAAGGCACGTGAAATATTCTCTGTTTTATAATGCACATTCTTTGTTGCAATCTTTTAATTGAAGTTTTAAGTTTATTTTCTTTTGCAGCTCATGTGCACTACCAAAGTGTTACAGAGAACTGATAGAAAATGAAGAGTCTTTGATACAAAAATTCTACCCGTCAGGTATATTTGTCACTCTAGACTCATCATATAATCTGAATTCTGAATACCATTTTAACTAAACGGGCATTTATTTTTCTCACAGATCTACAGATTGATACCCATGGGAAACGTTTCTTGTGGCAAGTAAGCCATTATATGAATACATAATTTAAGACTAGCTTACTCATATTTTTACGCACATTGGCTGGGTTGTGTAGCTAAGCCATCATCTTTCAGTTGCTACATTTAAGCCCCACTATAAGTAGTTGTGAAAGAAAAAAGAAAGCCGTCTTCACTCATGCTAGTTTTCTCCGAAATAAATTGTTTCAGGGTATTGCATTGTTGCCATTCATTGATGAAAAGGTGCTGATTTTGGCTACCAAGACGGTGGAGGATAAACTTGCAGTAAAAGAAATTGCCTGTCTTCTATGCAAATGGTCTACTAGACTTTGTTGCACGTGAGTGTTTTACATTGTTTGTATTTTGTAGGTGCATGAGATAAATAGAAACACAGTTCGGCAAGAAAAGATCTTCCTGAGGAACTCAAATACTATGCCAAATGGTCCAGCTTTTGTGCAGACATCTGACTGTTCGTCAAAAAAGCTTCTGTTAGATCCATCTAACAGGTACAATCAAGTCTGAACTGACACTACGTTGGTGCATTTCTTTTATTTCTGAGCAGCTTATAAGATTGTTGCTAAATCCTAAATTTCATTCGACGTAGTGAACTTGGAGGTGGTTGTCACCTGTTGACGAAGATAGTGTAAGCTGTGGTTTCTTCCGTTCACCGATAAGAGACCCACAGGACATTAGGAATGACCAGACAATGTATGTTTTCTCTTGACCCTATCATATTCAGGCAGTACTTTTCTAAGAAAAGAAGTCATCCTTTAATTTTCACTACATGTTCCTGTGTATGTTTCAGATCATTCTTGTTCTCCAACCCAGAACCAGTGCAAATCGTTCCAAGACTACTTGATCATGTCAAAAAGCCTGAAAAGGTATATTCAGATGTCTATTTGGCTGCACATTTCATTCGTTTAGGGGGCATGGCATTTGCCACCATACCGCCGATTCACCTTCATCTCTGAAAGAAACCATATCTTCTGCAGACTATAACTGAAAGTGAGATTTCAAAGAGGCCGTTGTGGCACACCTATCCGGGTTGC